CGTGTGGAGTTCATGTTCTCCCCGTGCTTGCGTGGGTTTTCCCCGGGTCCTCTGGTTTCCTCCAACACCCCCAAAAACATGAGACTAAGTAAATTGACTAAACCAAATTAGCACCAAATTCAATTCTGTCAGCAACACATCACCTTAGCAATCCTTACGCAGCAGGAGGTGGGGGTTCTCGAGATCTACCCGAGTCAAACTCCCCTCTCGCCCTGCAATGGAAGGGAGCTCCGGGCTCGAGGATCTTTTGAGCTCGGGGCTCTCTCCCGGGACAGCATGCCAAACTAGCTTATTACCAATCATCAGCTAAGTGTGAACTCTTGAATTGTATTGTAGATAAATGTTAAAGATATATCTGAAAATATTGAACTCTGCAATTCTGCTCTCAAAAAAATTGAAATTAAAATCATTCCAAGGTGGGAAAACAGCCATTTTAGTTAGTGATTTATAGGAGTCACTAATTTCACTGTTTTAGGAACTAGTTTTAGCACTTCGTAAATACTCGTGAAGAGCACAAATGGAGGGATCATAAATGATGGACTTGCACAACCATTTTTTTAAGATCTGCTCTAAATTGTCTGCACAAGAAGTTTGGCCATAAGAGAAATGGCCGTGCTCAACTGAGCCTGCTTTATCTTTTCCTTCACTTTCGTCAATTGGTGAAGTGTGTTCCTCGCCACTGGCTTGCTTGGTTTGGGACTTGTGGAGCTGCAGATCGATGGATTTGCTCTTCAGTGTTTGGACTTTCAGCAGTGAAAATTAAACCACACTGAACTGAACTAAACTAAACTCTGAAAACTGGACTGACACAGATTTATTTTACTAGAGCTACTATCTTAAGCTGCTTTAACACAATCTACACTGTAAAGCACTATGGAAGTAAAGAAAATATTATGAATTCATGATTGATTCATTGTTGATTAAGATATGTTGAGAATACGGGCCCTGATAGTAAGATATGACGTGTGCGACAATTTAGCTTCCAAAAATAAACACCCTTAGCGGTTTAGCGGTGGATTCACATTTCCTCTTCCTTTACTGTCAACTAATCAATCTAATCAAACATTAGCAGGAAGACGATGCCGTAGGAATCTCTTATTTAAGAGTCTGACTAATTTGATGAACCGGTTACTCCATCCAGACTCTTCAGGAATGTTATATAAAACTAAACACTCTCGGTTGAGCAACTCAATGAGCTAAAATAGCAACAGCCTGTCTGGTGGAAAATTTGACTCTCGTTCTGCAGTCAGTTGGAGATGCTATTCAAACACAAAGGTTTGGTATTTAATCAGCTATCAGTGTTTTGAATACTGCACACACCAAACAAGCAATGCAAATTTAAATAAATAAAAAAAACGTGTAATTTAAAAAAATTTATTACACATCGCTATCTCTCTTAAGCCATGGTTTATGAAGGCATCAAAGCAAACATGCAGCATCCACAAGCAGAAATGACCATCAATGCACATTAAATTAGCAATGCTGTGTTTTATTTACAGAGAGGGTCCACATTTGTGTACATCAGATCCATTGTGATGTCGTAAGCGATTAACATCAAGACCAGACAGTTGCTTTACAGTTCATGCACATTTACATTCATGCATTTTACGCAAGGTGACATTCAGTGTGTGTACATTTCATTCCTTCATGCATGGAATTGCAAGCTAGCACCACGCTTTTGAGCTACAACGTAACACATTATTTTTCAAGGCATTTGAGGATGTAAACCTGTTATCAGTAGTGTAAAGAGTTATTTGATCTTCTGATTGAACTTGCATATAATGCAGTTGTGTTATTTTAGAAAAGAAACTAATTTAATGTTCGATAGAATGTATTTTAGATGATGTTTACAATTGTCTTTTATTTATTTTTTCCACTTAGTGCATAATGTGGTATCACTTTATTTTGATGCTTTGATGGTATCACTTTTATTTTCCTTTAATGCATTTTGTTGATTTTACGTTACATTGCATCTATAACTAATTGTCAATAGATTATAAGTAGACTGTTTGGGTATAAGAGTTAGTTGACATGTACCTGCAAAGTTTTTTATAGTCAGTTAAATGTCTGTTGAAGGAGCAGTATCAGCAGATATTAAGCAGACAGTCTACTAATACTCAAATGTGAAGTAATTGGCATGTAGTTGCAATGCAACTTTTAGTGACCAAAATGTGCAATAAAGACCATCAAAATAAAGTGTTACCGAAAACCTGTTATTGTGCGTAAAGTTGACATTTCGGTTGTTCATTATTGTTTACAATATCAGCAACATGTACAGTAATGAAAAGGGAATTTGATAATTACAGGTGATATTATTTACATAGCTTATTAATGGAAATAAAGCGTTTTCTTTTAAATAACCTTTGTGCAAATAAATTATGAATGAAACAGTCATTCAGCATAACAGATAAAACAAATGAAAGCACATATTATTCTGACTTGCACTGCTAATATAAAGCTTGTTCTTGACAAAAGAGTGAAACCTAACACAATCTCACGGCAATTCGTAACTTTTTCATTTAGTGGCTAATTCGTATGAATTCGTACGATCTAATTCGTACAATTTAGTACGATTTGCGAATCCCCCAATGACGGTTGGGGTTAGGGGTGGGGTCAGGTGCCACGCCTCCTTTTTAAAATCGTACCATTTCGTACAACTGAACTCGTACGAATTCGTACGAATTAGCCACTAAACTGGCAAAACGTAAAATACTTACGTTTTCTCGTGAGATCAGGCTGGATTCAACACTGAGGATTTTGTCTACTGGTCTGATCGGGCCAGTGGTTCAAGTTTTTACTCGCCCTGTCAAAGTTTTCACTTGCCCCACCAAGAAAAACAAAGAGTATGGCTATTTCTTAGCCACATATTTTAAATAATGTGTCAAAATAATGTCTGTAAATCTAGAATTTAAATATTTAAAAATGTTAATAAATGTATAATGAGCAAAATTCTAATTGTTTTGCAAACCAAAATAATTCTATGAAAAGTGTCTGTGCAAAACCGTGCTAAACATCACTCTTTTTGTTCCATTATGTTGTATTCACGTAAATGTCTGATTTAAGATGTTAAAAACAGACTCATAATTTGATGTTGCCACTTTGTTTCCGTCTCTTTGCTGTACTGGTTGTTACCAGGTTAGGTAAAAAAATATTGTGCTCACAACATCCAATCAAGGGTGCGTTTCCCAAACAATGACGTAACTCGTAGCTGAACTATCATAGTACGATGCATCGTTTGCGAAAAGAACAATGTAGTGACAAGTGTTTCCAAAAACTCGTAGTTTCTCTGTCACAGATCCATCATTTGAACCACATTAGTTATAACGTAAACGTCCATAATGCTGCTCTAAACTGGGTAGAGTGACTACTTCTTTAGAGAAGAACTCCATCATTTCTTGGTGCAAATTATATTGTTTTACACAAACATGCATTTAAAATAAAATCCAATATTAGTTTTGGTAAAAACATGCACTCGCTTTCCATATTAACTGAAATATATGTGAATGGCAGATATAGGGCCTGTGTTTCCTTTACTAATATTATTGAGAACATTACATATTCTAAACTTAATTAACATAAAATCACTTACAAAAACACATATTCTAATATCGTATATAAATAAATAAATAATGAGGCTATTTATTTAAAAAAATGAAATTTAATATTTGTTATTAATTAGGAAATGAAAAAAATCCTACTTTAATAATAATGATGATGATGATAATTATTAGTAATATTAAGTATGATATTGTTTTGTCTTTTTTTAAAGCACTTTTACAATTTGACACATGTAAACCACTGAAGAAATTCTCTAGCCTCTTTCAAAGTGCACTGCGAAACGAGCGCAATTGTAAACATGAAAATCACTAAAACTGAACTGTAAAATACTTTGAAAGCAAATTACACCTATAAGAGAGATGACCTTAATGCTTTTTTAATACTTTCAAATTTAAATATTAGAATGTTCTAAATGAATAGGGCATAGGGGGGATAACTGGGAATAGAACACAGCCAGGAACTATGTTTCTAACTACAGCTCCAGAGGTGTAGCTGCAAGCATACAAGTTTGCGATGCAGTTCGTTGGAACGACGGATTTGGGAAACAGCAAATCAACAAACTATGTTTGTAACGATCTTAGTTGGCTAATGATGGTTTCGGAAACGCACCTCAGATTCGGATATGAGCAACTGAATGGCAATATGGGGTTTATGACTTCACAGAGAAGATGGCATTTAAAGGCTTAAAAGCTCAAACTGTTATCGATTCTAAGACTGAATTTGCATGCAATTGACAAATAGTCACATGCAAATTGAATATTAGTGACAAGGCAGCACTGGCCCGACTGGACCAGTAACGATTCTGTCTTCTGTCCTGAGTGTCTCATATGCTGGCCCCGGGCCATCGGGCAATCCTTATCGTTGAGTCCTGCTATAGACAGTAGTGGTTTGGAAGATAGTGGCAAAGTATTATGGTGAATATAAAAAGAGTTAAACAGTATTAGCAGAACCCTTGGAAGATTGTTGTTGTAAATATGTCTGGCAATATTTTACTTTTTTATGCTTAATGACAATATAGTAGCTGTTTCCCATGATCCCAGAATTGCTCTGGGATCATGTTGGCGTGAGTGAATGTATTTCAGAAGCTGTTGTTGTTTTCTGCTTGGTTTTAGCTTGAGTTCCATGAGATTATTAAATTCATTCATTCATTCATTTTTCTTTGGTTTAGTCTCTATTTCAAAGGTTGCCACAGTGGAATGAACCACCAACTATTCCAGTATATGTTTCACACAGCGGATGCCTTTCCAACCACAACCTAGTACTGGGAAACATACATAGACACTCGTTCACACACACTCATACACTACATTTAGTTCTAATTCCCCTATAGCGCATGTGTTTGGAGTCCTGCTATAGACAGTAGTGGTTTGGATGATAGTGGCAAAGTATTAAGATGACTATAAAAAGAGTTAAACAGTATAACCAGAACCCTTGGAAGATTGTTGTTGTAAATATGTCTGGCAATATTTTACTTTTTTACGCTTAATGACAAAATATAGTAGCTGTTCCCCACAGCAGATACAAAGTCAATCAGGCCTGTATTGTGATAAGTGTCATTAGTGCATAATTAATGTCCAAATGTCCAGTTTAATGTGATGGATATCCTTCATATCATACCATTTCACAGTGTCTTTGACTTTGGCTCACTAATGTAGCGTAAAATTCAATCTCAGCTGCTCTTCTCGCTCATAATGTGGGCATGCGTTAGCTGATCACCGCCAGTTGAACAAGCCTTTCATTGCTCGACTTGAACTTGTCACATTTGAAGATCTCCACGAAGGCCTGTTTAAAGCTATCGCCTGACAGCGTGTAGAGCGGCAGGTTGAAGATGATGTTAAGCACAGCGATTGGTCTGGAGATGATGTAAGCCGCATGAACGCCATGATCCAGCATACAGTTCGTCTCTGGCGTGAGCCTCGTGTAGATTCTAAACGCTCGCAGCACATGAAACGGAAGAAAACAAACCGCAAAACACGTCAAAATGAGCACAATGAATCTCCTCGCTCGCACTCGTTTTTTGCACCCCATATGAGGACCCTCCTTTAGCTTTTCGATGATGCGCCAATAGCAGACACAGACCACCACTAAAGGAACTAAATAGCCAAGTACTGTCAACACCCAACTATACGGCCAAATCTTTTGAGCATCATTGCTCGCAAAATCCAAACAGTATGTTTTGTTATCGATCTCCATCGTGGCAAACAGATTAAAAATGGGACTCAGTTCAGCCACTGTAACAACCCAAACCAGCGCACAAGATACAACGCCCCAGCGTTTGCGCCGAATCTTGTGTGAGTGCTGCGGATGCACGATTGCTACATAGCGAAAAATGGAGAAGCATGTGAGGAAGAGGATGCTGCCGTACAGGTTGAAGTGGAAGATGAAGCGGGCGAAGCGACACACGGTGATTCCCAGAGTCCACGAGTCATTCAGCACATAGTAATACACTAAAAATGGCAGCGAGATCATGAAGAGGAGATCTGTGAGGACCAGGTTCACCATGATGATGGTGCTGCTCTTCCAGGGTCGAACCTTGAGCAGATACACCAGAAGAGCTGTGATGTTTCCAATCACACCCACTATGAAGATGGCACCGTACATGGCTGGCAGATAGTAGCGCTTCACCTTGTCGTCCACATCGGTGCAGTTGTCCAAAGAATTGTTGGTCATGTCATAGTAAGGGTTGCCAGACATGATTGCGCCTGGAAAAAAGGAGGTGAAATCTCCTGAGATGAGAATTGACAATGCTTATTTTGCTTGTACACATTGTTATTCTTTAGGTCAATGATTTATCCAAGTTATTTGCATGCAAGAAAAAAAGTTCCTCCCATTTGCTTCTGTGATTCTGAGACATTCAGCCTGTTACAATAATCAATATATGGACCTATCACACAACACATAGACATGACTTCAATCAATTTTTGTTGATGCAATATAGATCACCTGTACATAAACACCAATTCTAGCAACATTTTAGCTGATTGCTCAACATCTCTATCTCTATTGTAGATGTCAGTGTCAGTATAGTTAAAAACACTGTAGTATTTACTATAAATGACTATAGTATATTCTCATGTGGGTGTCTGACAGCTGAAACTAGATCTGCTAGCACAGTGACCCCCGATGGGGGGTCTACAATTAAATACAATTGTTATTACCCATTAATTTTTAAATGTACTTTTACATTTTTTTTTACAAGAAAGACTAGAAAAAATGTGAAGCTCTTCCCTATTGTTATTATTATTTTATATTATCGTTATTATTATTATTATTATTATTATTATTATTATTATTATTATTATTATTATTATCATTATTATTATTATTATTATTATTATTATTATTATTATTATTATTATTCAAATAGCCCAATTCTGTGTGGGGAAATGTGTTGAATGTGCTGACCATTTTGTTATTTATAATTGCCTAATAAATGACTATAGGCTTGTTTTTAATTTAAAACAGATTCTTTTTTTCTAGTGATATAAGATGTAAAAAATATTGTATTTTAAATGTTTTTTTTTCATATTTCTTTATTCTAAATCTAGGAAATATTTTTGGTCCATCTAAAAAAAGTGTGGTTATGATGACCAGCCGGCAAGCTAGTTTAAAATTAGTGTTTAAAATGTGTTTAAATCTCATAATTAAATAGAAAATATTTAGTATATAAAGTATATAAAAGTATTATAAAAGTATATAAAGTATTACTGCAAAAAGGTCCAGTTTTTGAGAAAAAAAGACCCCCCCCCCTCTTTACCAAGCTGACCTGATAAATTAAGTCAAAATAAAGAGTGTATGTATTGTCATTATACATTATACTAGAATTAATAGGGTTGAAGTCAAAATTATTATTCGCCCTCCTGTGAATTTTTTTTTCAATATTTCCCAAAAGCTGTTTAACATAGCAAAGATTTTTTTTACAGTATTTCCTATAATATTTTTCTTTTTAAGAAAGTCTTAATAAAAGCAGTTTTTTAATTTTTTAAAGCCATTTTAAGGTTAATATTATTAGTTCCCTTAAGCAGTATTATTATTCGGTTGTCTACAAAACAAACCACTGTTATACGATGACTTGCCTAATTACCCTAACTTTACCCTAATTAACCTAGTTAAGCCTTTAAATGTCACTTTAAGCTGTATATTAGTATCTTGAAGAATATCTAGCCAAATATTATGTGCAGTCATCATGGCAAAGGCAAGGCAAGTTTGTTTATATAGTACATTTCACACACAGTGGCAATTCAAAGTGCTTTACGTAAACAGGAATAAAAGAGACAAGTGTAAGAAAATAAAAACAAATCATACAAATGATTAAAAACAGATTAAATGTGTGCAAAGATAATCTAGAAATGAGTTATTAAAACTATTATGATTAGAAATGTGTTTTATCTCCGTTAAAGGTAAATTATAATTTAATAAAAAGACATCAAATTGAATAAGTGGGCTAATAATTTTGACATTGACTGTATATTTAATGCTAAAATCAGAAGTGTGAAGCAACATCACTGGTTTTATATTTAATATATAATATAGTAATATTATATTAGACACTTTTGAATGAGAAGCCAAAAATGCATGATCAAGATTATATTTAGGTAAGATTATTTTGCTGACAAATTAAAATTATATTAATAAAAATCATGTTTTATCTCATTTCAAATTCAACTTAAATTGCTTTTGCTGCCTTAAATGTTTTATTTAACTGATTAAAATCATATCTTGGGTTTTGATTGTATTTTTTCATCTCATCAAGAACTTACTCACCTTTATTTTTATTTTACACTCCTGCTTACAAATGCAAAAAAGAAATCTTCTGAACATCCAATGCTGTTCATTTAACATCAAATCTCTTCTAACTAAATACTCTGTTTAAATGATTTGTTTACTAGACATTACCACAAACCTTGTGTAATATCTAAGCAAAAATAACTGAACACTGATAATACATAAATGCTGAATACTTACTGAATACGACAGGTGCTGATGCTCACATGAAATCTCGGAGAAACTGCGCTGATCTCTGAACGGCTTACTGTATAAAACACAACACCTGATCCTCCCACTTCAGTTGAAGAGTTCCTGTAAATCTCTAATCATTTCCATGTTTACTGTATACGCCACATTCCAGCAGTCGCCTGCATATGAACGCATACGGGCAGATCGAGCCGTAAACACACATTTACAGGTGAACCCACACACCTGTGACATCACTCTGTTATATTATAAGAAAGTGTGTCACAGACGAGCCCAGGTGAGTTCCAGTGCCAACAAAACTAACTTGATCGCTCATCAAAGATGCCTGAGATGTTTGTGATGTGCCTCGTGGGGTTTGCTTGTAAGCTCTGAGGAAAAAGGATCTGCTGCAATTATTATGAAAAGCTCATTCGCTTATTTACAAAATGCTTCAGGCAACTTGGCATAGCTCATTTTAAACATTATGCAATGCTAAAAGAGTTATGTGGATGATATAATGCTGTGTGTGAATGCTATTTAAGGTTAAATAAAATTAATGGAACGTATACTTAACTACATAAATTCTGAGGTGTACTTTTTACAATTAACACATTAAAATGAGAAGTGATCATTCAAACTTTTATAATGTTTTAAATTATTAAAAACATTTTGATTGTAAATGAGTAAAACGTATTGGTTTATATAGGATATACTGACTACATGACAAAAATACTATACTTATCTATAGTGAATACTAGGGATGCCACAGTTCTCAATATAATATTGAACCATTCGGTACGACCTCCACGGTTCAATACGCGCTTGTGAATTGCGGTTTTCTCAGTTTTGCGTTTAAATAATTAATGTGCGTTTTATATCTCCCCGAATTGACTGTGTGTGCCTGTAATGCCGAGTTCAGACTGCATGATTTTCCAACTAGTCGTGTCACAGGTGTTTTCACACTGCATGACTATCTGGGCTAGCGTTTCGTCGCTGCTTTGTTTACACTGAAAGATGGTTCGGCGACAGGGGCTTTCACATTGCATGACTTTACTATAGGGAGAATCGCCAACAACTTCGTCCAAACTACGTCTCACAGCCAAAAACACGTCGTATATCTTTTGTTATTAACTACATAATGAGAAAGAAGCCTTTGATGGGGTAGAACATGTACATACTTGCTCATCTGGGTTTAAAGGGAAGCAATTTCTCCTCAACGTTGATAATAAACTAATTTCTTTCTGTATGAAACGTCAAACAGACACGGTTGCTCCTGAGTCCTGTCAAACCTCCACTAGTTTTTCCTCCATTTCGTGGGTCCAAATAAACCGAAAATGACGCTTTTAACTTCTCCCCCAGCCTCCCGCTGGCCTGCAGCAGCTATACACACACACACACAAGTGAATGCCGCTCTCTCATTGGCTGTAGGCGATCGCTGATGTTAATTTCAGTCAAAACTCAATTCACACGGCATGATTTGAATCGCCGACAGCTCCAGATATTCAGCACGGCAAATATCTCACAGGCATCGGCGACTCATCTGTGATTCTCTCAGATCGCGTCTTTGATAGTTCATACTGTGTGATTGTCACTCACGTGCACGAGCAGCGATTTGCCTGTGATTTCAGGCATTTGTCGGCGCTTTCTCAAAACCTGTCGGCGAGCCAAAATCGGGGCTAAAATCATGCAGTCTGAAATAGGCATAAGTCCATGAGTTGACATGAGGAAACTCCTCCCATCTGAGTAAATATCCAATCACTATGCCCTAAAGCTAGGGGGCGCTTGACCATCATTCCACACTTTAACATTGCGAGCGGCGGTGAAGTGAGTCTGAGGCAACAGTACAAGGAAGAGCTGGCAAAGTGAGGCAACAGTACAAGAAAGCACCGACGTCTTTCAAATCTGCGGTGTAAGGACATTTCGGTTTTACTGGTAAGCATAATGCCAATAAAAGAAAAAACGGTGAGCAAAAAATAACTGTGTGAAAGCATTGCTTTACACGTATAACCATGACTGCACATCTGCAGCGCCATCACCCAGCAATATCACTGTCTGAAGCAGGAGAGCAGAGAAGGTAATAAAGTCCTCCAAACAGCAACAATCCCTCGCTGAATATTTCAAGCAAACATACCCAACTGGTTACGAGAGACACATAAACATAACAAAGGCAGTGCGGGTGTTTATTGCTGAAGATCTGCAGCCGTATTCATTGATTGGAGATGTGGGCTTTTGTCATCTTATAAAAGCACTTGATTCGCGTTACAGACTACAATCTCGCATTGTTTCAGCACCGAGATAATTAAGATGGTTTATTTATGTTTACTAAAGTACAAATATGTTTATTTGAAATGGCCAATTCATCGTTATTAACTTCACATGTATGTTTATTTTCAGAGTGTGGGATTTCATGTGTTCCCCAGTTTGTACATGGGCTATCACAGCTGTGAGATTTCAGTGTTCATTTTTTTTTTTAATACAATACACCAGGAACTACTGTACTTTTCTTGGCTTTTAAGTAAAACAAAATGAGTATTGCAATAGATCATTTTTAATTTATTTTTCCTTAACCTCTTATTGTTCCTATTGCCTATAGCAGTGGTGGCCAACTCTGTTCCTGGAGAGCCACCTTCCTGCAGATTTCAGTTGCTACCCATATCAAACACACCTGCCTGTAATTATCACGTGGTGTTCAGGTCCTATATATTGGTTCAGGTGTGTTTGATATGGGTAGCAACTGAAATCTGCAGTAAGGTGGCTCTCCAGGAACAGGGTTGGCCACTCCTGGCCTAAAAAAAGGTGTCAAGCCATGAGAACCGAACTGAACAAAAACCGTGTTAAAAAACCGAAGTATGTATGAAACAGTGGGCTAAATGTATTATTGCATCCCTAGTGAATACTGCACTGTTTTGAACCATACTATATATATCGCAATCAATGTTTTCTTTATTGGCATTGATTGTTTTAAAAATGAAATGGCATTAACATGCCTGTGTTTTAATTTCTGTAATAAATATGGCTGTCAAGAATCTTGATGGTTTATTGTGGGATTGTTGTTTACATGAAGAAATCTATGTTACACGTTAAAAAAAATTCTAATAAACATTTATATTTAGAATTTAAATAGTATTTGTCTTGCGTTTACATTAATTTTGCATTTGAATAGCCAAAATGACAAGTTCCAGTCTTTTAAATGTAATTAATCGCGATTGTGGTGGGACCTACCTAAATGCCTTTTTAGGTTATTAATTAAAGATGTTTTCTGTCAGTGTTTGTTTCTCTTAATGTTCTGAAACTAGTGATGTTTCTTTGCTGAACATCAAATGTTTGTTAAAATTAACACAGTTTAACGGTTTTGAGGACATTATTAAAAGCAAATGAAATAGATGAACGTTAGACTGGTTTATTAGTAACTGAGGTGCTACTCTTGCTAGTAACACTAGCATGCTATTTAAAGCCATTGTTCGTAGCTATTTTAATAATTCCTGTTCAGAAGAAACAAGAGATTCGTCAGCAGATAAACATTAAACAGAACTGGTTGTGTTTCTTTTATCTGGCTGAATGCTGTATCTGAGTGATCGTGAGTGACTCTAAGCAGGACTTTGTCGACCTCTGCTGGAACTGCGTGAGACTATTAATTATTGACAGTTAATTTACAGTTTATTTGTTTATAATTATTAACAGGAGGGTTTATGATGGGTACAGGGCGATACATTCCACTCACTTTTAAAGACAGACCATTTAGAAACAGGTGATTAAGAATGTAAACTTTTGGATTTCATACAGCTGCCCACTCCCTTTTTAAATTATCCACTAAGTCAAATGCATTTTGGGAAAATATTTATAATATAATTTATAATAATAAATGTTTTGAACTATACTATAGTAAAGTACGGTATTCATCTGTTGTGGTAATTTTATGTTTGCTATGGTAACACAAGCACTATGGTAATATTAACAAAGCATTGTAGTTTTCTACAACTGTAGGGCATATTAAACTATATTACACCACAGTTTTCATTCATTCATTTTCATTCAAGTCTCTATTTTAGAGTTCACCACAGCAAAATAACCCACCAACTATTCCTGCATATGTTTTACGCAACCCAGTCCTGGGCAACACCCATACACACTCATTCTCACACATACACTCCCACACTACGGCCAAATTAGCTTATTCAATTCCCCTATTGGGCATGTGTTTGGGCTGTGGGGGTAACCCACACTAACACGGGGAGAACTTGCAAACTCCACACAGAAATTCCAACTGATCCAGCCGAGACTCAAACCAGCAACCTGTTGTGAGGCCATAGTGCTGACTACTGAGCCGCCGTGCTGCCCTCATCACAGTTTACTGTAGTAAAAATTAAAGTGTACTACAGTATTTATGATTGTTAGTAATTATAATTAATACTACAATATGCAGAATATTTATTAACAAATTTAAATAACCCACTATAATATATGCATACATTGTACTATAATGTGCTTCAAAAGCACTATAAATTGCTATGATGTTTCTTTTTTTCGTGGGAAGTGATTGTTCTATACTTATTTAAATATTTAAACATGGTTTGGTCTAATGGAGCTTATGGGACAATTCCCAAGTTTGACCACACGAGGGAGCAAGACTCACACTTACATTAATGTTATTTATTTGTAATACTTCAGTTAGACAGCATGCTTTCGTATTCAACAGAAAATGGACTTTGACATGACATCCTGCAATACTCATAATTTTTTCTTAATTTACAGTTAAAGTCAAAATTATTCACCTAAATAATTCCCAAAATGATGAACAGATTCAGGATATTTTCACAGTATTTCCTATAATATTTTTCTTCTGGAGAAAGTCTTATTTGTTTTATCTAGATTAGAATAAAAGCTTTTAAAAGATAAATATATAGGATCAATATTATTATGCCTTTTAGCAATATTTTTCCATAGTCTACAGAACAAACCACTGTAATGACTTGCCTAATTACCCTAACTTTACCCTAATTAGTTAAGCCTTTAAATGTCACTTTAAGCTGTATAGAAGTGTCTTGAAGAATATCTAGTATTATTATTATCTAATATTATTTACTGTCATCATTTCAAAGATAAAATAAATCAGTTATTAGAGATGAGTTATTAAAACTATTATGTTTAGAAATGTGTTGAAAAAATCTGCTCTCCTTTAAACAGAAATTTGGAAAAGATTTGGGGACTAATAATACTGACTTCAACTGTAGCTGAGTGGAATCCTCGAGAATAAACCTTGGAACTTACTCGCTCGTGACTGGTTTTACCACTTTTGGTCCGTTGAGAAACTTGTGTAAAAGTGAACCGCAAGAACAAAACGCAACTTTGTATTCATTTTAATCCTTCTTTTGGAACCCCAAAAAAATCTATCTACAGCTGTGAAAGCCTGAGTTTAGTTAATTCTCACCTTAACCCTTAATAGAGTACTCATTGTGAAATACCTTTAGTGTAACTGAGATTTATTACAACACATTTGAACTTATATGAATTTTAAAAAAAGAAGAAAAAAAATATATATATATTATATCTTTTATTTATACTTACACACACAGTTGAAGTTAGAATTATTCGCCCCCTTTTTAATTTTATTTTTCTTTTTTAAATATTTCCCAAATGATGTTTAACAGAGCAATGAAATTTTCACAGTTTGTCTGATAATATTTTTTCTTCTGGAGGAAATCTTACTTGTTTTATTTTGGCTAATAGTCTACAGAACAAACCATCGTTATACAATAACTTGCCTAATTACCCTAACCTGCCTAGTTAACCTAATTAACCTAGTTAAGCCTTTAAATATCACTTTAAGCTGTATAGAAGTGTCTTGAAGAATATCTAGTCTAATAGTATTTACTGTCATCATGACAAAGATAAAATAAATTGGTTATTAGAAATGAATTATGAAAACTATTAAGATTAGAAATGTGTTGAAAAAATCTGCTCTCCATTAAACAGAAATTGTGGGAAAAAAAATAACAGGGGGGCTAATAATTCAGGGGGCTTCTGACTTCAACTGTGTATATATATATATATATATATATATATATATATATATATATATATATATATATATATAAATGGTCACACTTTACAATAAGGTTCATTAGTTAATGTTAATTAATGAATTTACTAAGATGAACAAACAATGAACTATACGTTTACTACAGTATTTGTTCACAGTAGTTAACGTTAGTTAATGGAAATACAGTAGTTCATTGTTAGTTCATGTTAATTCATGCTGCATTAACTAATGTTAACAAGCATAGGCTTGGATGTTAATAATGCATTAGTAAATGTTTAATTATGATTGATAAATGCTGTACATGTGTTCTTCATGATTAGTTCATGTTAGTAAATGCATTAACTAATGAACCTTATTGTAAAGTGTTACCATATAAATATACAGTGGTGTGAAAAAGTGTTTGCCCTTATTTCTTATATTTCCTTTTGCACGCTTGTCCCACTTTAGTGTTTCAGGTCATCAAACAAATATAAATATTAGTCAAAGAAAACACAAGTAAACACATCATGCCGTTTTGAACTTTTTTATTATTAAGAGAAAACAAAACACAAAACTGTGTTGCGCTGTGTGAAAAAGTGTTTGCCCTGTTAAAACAGAACTTAACTGTGGTTTATCACACCTGAGTTCTCTAGCTTCACCCAGGTTTACCGCCACACCTGTTGCCAATCAATAAATCATTTAAATAGGACCTGCCTGACAAAGTCATGTAGACCAAAAGATCCTCAAAAGCTAGACATCATGTCAAGATCAAAATGAATTAAAAAACAAAAAAGAGATGGAAAATAGTTCAGATTTACCAGTCTAGAAAAGGTTATAAAGTCATTTCTAAAGCTTTGGGACTGAAGCGAACCACAGTTAAGACTAGTTTATACTTCTGCATGGAGTGATCGGTGTGACCCATGGCACCTGCCTTGCACATAGCCGTGCATTTAGACATCTGCGTGCTGTTTGTGTTGCTCTGTAATAACTCTTCTGAACGCTAGCTGGCAGTGAGGTTTTTATGTTCCTCTGTGTCGAGCTTCTTCGTGGGTGTTTTGTTTTTTCTGAACACTACCTTAATGTACAAGTAGATCAAACCCGCTCATTCAGAGGTGGGAACCGGTGGACTTTAATCATATGGTAAACACAAAACAAAAGTTTTCATTTGGAGCTCCTTCACAGGACTTGACACTTGTAAACGTTCACTCCATCGGGCTCGAGGCTCTCAGCACCGCCCACCCTTGTCACATCTACCAAGCTGACCAATCACAGAGCTTGCGCAACGCATCATTGTGATGTGTAGTAACAATTTTTGAGAGGTGCACATCGGTGTCAGCCACGGCGAGGTCTATGCGACCATGCAAAGGCTGCACCGGACTATACTTGTGCGCTTGATGCAGAAGTATAAATCAGCCTTAAGAGCCATTATCAACAGTGTAGAACCAAAAATACCCAAAGAGTGCAGTGACAACTTATCCAAAGATGTCCAAACAACATCCAAAGAACTGCAGGCCTCACTTGCCTCAGTTAAGACTTCTGTTTATGTGTCCAGCATAAGAAAAACACTGGGCAAAAATGGTTTGTACGACAGAGTTCCAAGACGAAGACTGAAAATAGACTTATCTGTTGTGTACAAAGATATCCTGAAGGAGAATGTGTAACGCCGCCGGTCCTACGCCACCCAACCCTCTCCGAGCTGGTCTCGAACCGGCGACCTTCCGCATGGGAGTTGGTTGCTCTAACAAGGAGGCTAAAGACCATGGCCTCTAGCGTCTGTCGCTAGAGCACCTTTAGAGGTCAGAGGAGTGAGGTTTACCTGCACAGCACTTACTAGCTGGCCTCCGTTACACTCACCCCCCTAAACCTCACTCCCATCCGGGTCAAGGCACCAATGCAACGCCGCCGGTCCTACGCCACCCAACCCGCTCCGAGCTGGTCTCGAACCGGCGACCTTCCGCATGGAGTCGGTTGCTCTAACAAGGAGGCTAAAGACCATGGCCTCTAGCGTCTGTCGCTAGAGCACCTTTAGAGGTCAGAGGAGTGAGGTTTACCTGCACAGCACACACTAGCTGGCCTCCGTTACAAATGGTTGGCCATAGTGACCTCAAGCAGAAGTGAACTTGGGTGCTGCAGTAGTACAATGATCCAAAGCACACCAGCAAGTCCATTTCTGAAAAACAAAATGACAATCTTGAAGTGACCTAGTCAAACTCCTGACCGGAATCTAACTGAGTTGCTGTGGCATAACCTTTGACAGGTGGTTCATGCTAGAAAACACTGCAATCTGGCTGAATTCCAACAATTCTGCAAAGATGAGTGGGCCAAAATTCCTCCACAGTGCTGACTCATTGCATTGCAAGTGATTAAACACTCTTGATAGCAGTTGTTGCTATCAGTTATTGCTAATCAGTTAAACACTTTTTTTCTTGTTAATAAAAAGCCTTATTTCAAAACTGCTTGATGTGTTTACTTGTGTTATCTTTGACTAATTTTAACATTAGTTTGATAATCTGAAACATTGAAGTGTGACTAAAAATCCCTAGGGGGGAAACACTTTTTCATACCACTAGATGTCTTTTATTTAAGATCTTATCAACAAATGTTAATCATATTACTCACTAATCATTTTCCAATCAACTATGTTTAAATTTTTTGTTAGTATTGCTTTGCATATACTGCCTCTTCAAAATATAGTAGATTGTTTTCCACAGCAGATACAAAGTCAATCAAGCCTGGATTGTCATAAGAGTGAGTAACTGATGTCCAGACATTCATTTTTATGTGACAGTCAGTGTATCCTTCATATCATGTTATTACACATTGTCTTTGACTTTAGCTTATTAATTAGCATTAGTTGATCACCGCCATTTCAACAGTCCTTTCAGTCTTCGACTTGAGTTTCTTACATTTGAAGAGCTCCACAAAAGCCTGTTTAAAGTTACCGCCCTGCATCGTGTACAGCACCATGTTGAAGATGATGTTGAGCACTGCGATGGGTCTGGAGATGATGTAGGCCGCATGAACGCCATGATCCAGCATACAGTTCGTCTCTGGCGTGAGCCTCGTGTAGACTCTAAATGCACGCAGCACATGATACGGAAGAAAACAAACTGCAAAACACGTAATAATCAACACAATGACTCTCCTCGCCAATAAACGTGAGGTGCTCCCCGTATGAGGACCCTCCTTTAACTTTTCGATGATGCGCCAATAGCAGACACAGACCACCACCAAAGGAACTAAAAACCCGAGTACAGTCAACACCCAACTATACGGCCAAACACTCTGTGGATCATTGCTCGCAAAATCCAAACAGTATGTTTTGTTATCGATCTCCACTGTTGCAAAAAGATTAAAAATTGGACTAAGTTCAACTACCGTAATGATCCAAAACAACATGCAAGACATGATGCCCCAGCGTTTTCGGCTAATATTTTCTGCATGCTGTGGATGCACGATTACTACATAGCGAATAACGGAGATGCATGTGAGGGCTAGGATGCTGCCGTACAGGTTGAAGTGGAAGTCGAAGCGGGAGAAGCGACACATGGTGATTCCCAGAGTCCACGAGTCATTCAGCACATAATAGTAGACAAAAATCGGCAGGGAGATTATTAAGAGAAGATCTGTGAAGATCAGGTTCACCATGATGATGGTGCTGCTCCTCCAGGGTCGAATCCTGAGTACAAACACCAGAAGAGCTGTGATGTTTCCAATAGCACCCACAACGCAGATGATAGCATACATGGTTGGCAGATAGTAGCGCTTCACCAGGTTGTCCACATCTGTGCAGTTGTCGTTCGATGTGTTAGTCAGGCCGTAGTAAGGGTTTAGAGACATGATTGACCCTGAAGAAAAAGAGAAAAGATGTTAGACCACCCTCTTGTCTCAATCTCTAACATCTCTTCTATACATCAAGCCAATGGCAAACAACTAGAACCAACGAAATCTAGCTGTGTTGTTCATTGGATCGTGTCTGGAGTAAATAGCTGTACTGGAACACACCAAACAGACAAAAGCAAACTGAAATGAGATGAGAGCAATGTTCAGCGCCGGAGCAAGAGGACATGCCTTTTCGCTCCATTGGGGTCAGTAGCGTGTTATTGAATTGTTAATAAAGCAGCATTCAGTACATTATTACAGTAATTTTTGATTCGCTTCTGCAAATATGTCTGATAATCTAATGCATGTCGTTTGCAAATATTTGAGAAATTTTGCAAAGTTGCAGCCAGCCGCCTTGTCTTCCTTCTTGGCTTCAATTGTTTACTTCCTACATCACTTCCGAACATCACACTTGCACTTTGATTCATTACTGAATAGCCAATCAGAGCACTCTCTTCAGTTGACGGTCTCATGCTGATTCTACATGCTGAACTAATCTGACGTTATCCTGATGAGAGATGTTAAACTTAGGTCCTGACTCTCTGTGGTCATTAAAAATACCATGGCACTTCTCGTAAAGAGTAGGGGTGTAGCCCCGGTGTCCTGGCCAAAGTGCTTGAATCGGCCTTTGCGGTTATGGCCTCCCAATCATCCCCATCCACCAAATTGGTTGTGTCACTGTCTCTCCACTCCTTCAATAGCTGGTGTGTGGTGAGCGCACGTTGTCCTCCGGCTGCCGTCGTGTTATCCAAGTGGATGCTGCACTATGGTGGTGTTGTGGAGAGACCCCCCCCCCCCCCTCATGATTGTGAAGCGATTTGGGTGTATGGCTATACCCGATAAATGCGCTATATACACACATTACATGAGTTGCGACGTGTTGAAAACACCAAACTGACTACACTCTAAAAAAATACTGGGTTATTTCAACCAAAGGCGGTTCATTCCACTGTGGCCACCCCTGATTATTAAAGGGGCTAAGCAGAAAAGAAAATGAATAAATAAATGAATTTCAACCAATTTCTGGGTGTAATAGGGACTAACCCAACTCCTGGCAAATTTTTGTATTCAATGAATTGGACCACATTTAACCCTCCTTATCCAGAGCGATCAGAAGACCAGCCAAAATCTCTGGACCCCTCACACCCAGCACACTTCCTCTTTGAACTGCTACCTTCTTTTCCTTCTTTGGGTTAATCCATGTTTTACCCAATTTTTATTTAGATAACCCAGCATTTCCTTTATTGAAACCTGAACACAGACCAACAAAGCCCAATGGCCTAGTGTCGGCTTAGTGTTCTGGCCCTTACCTAAGCCCTGTTCAGATGTTTTTCAGACACTCATTGCCCATTTTACATATGCCTAAATCCGCCAGTTATCATTCATTCCTTCATTTTCTTTTTGGCTTATTGCCTTCAATAGTCTGGGGTTTTAACCGGAATGAACTTCAACTTATCCAGCATATGTTTTATGCAGCGGATACCCTTCCCAATACTGGGAAACATCTATACACACTCATTCACACACACCCACATACACTACGGCCTATTTAGTTCATTCAATTCGCCTATAGTGCATATGTTTGGAAACCCACTCCAACATGGGGAGAACATGCAAACTCCACACAGAAATGCCAACTGATCCAGCTGGGTTTCAACCAGCAACCTTCTAACTGGTGGCGATTGTGCTTACCACAATCCACTAGTTACTCCGCACCTAATACAATCAAAAATCACATCAAAACACAACTGAAGTCTTTGCAGGAGATGTGTAGGAAACTAGAGCTACTCACAGGACAAAAACCTGACAAATGAGGTATAACATCTGAACAGTGGAGCAGCTGTTGGAATTGCAGCATTCATTGGCGAATTAATGTGTACAAAATGTTTACATTTTTCAAAAAGAAGGCTCCTAAATGTACTATCACCGAGGACTGAAATAGATTGTACAGAAAATAAATATACAATTATATAAACATAAAATAGCAACTAAAATAAGATTTCAGTATTTATAATAGTAGTGAAATGAGTTTAATTCGCAGGGTGGCAGGGCACACCCTTAGAGGGGAGGGTGAGGAGCTCTGTCACCTGGGAGGAGCTCAAAGCTGAGCCGCTGCTCCTCCACATCGAGGGAAGTCAGTGAGGTGGCTCGAGCATCTGTTTTGGATGCCTTCTGGACGCCTACTTAGAGAGGTGTTCCAGGCATGTCCCACTGGTAGGAGGCCTAGGGGAAGACCCAGGACATGCTGGAGGGACTATGTCTCTCGGCTGGCCTGGGAACACCTCAAAATCCCCCGGAGGAGCTGGAGGAAGCGTCAGAAGAGGGAAGTCTGGGGTTTTCGCCTGAGACTGCTGTCCCAGTGACCCGGCCCCGGAAAACCGGAAGAAAATGAATAAATGAATGAATGAATAATCTATGCACTAATATCTATATATCTTACTTATTTAAAAAAAAAAAACTTAATTTGTTTTAATTTTAATATACTGTATATATGACCCTCTCTATGAAACATTGGCTAAAGTTACATAATCTATTTCCGAGAAAAAGAGCATCAAAGTTGTACAGTCAATATATGCGATTTGTGTTTATTGCAGTAAATAATAGATTAAATATCAAGGTTTTGAGATACTGTAGGATATTTACATGAATAACTTGATAAGTACTGAAATTAATGATTTTTATCAATTCTACGCCTTATTATTTTGTTAAAAAAAATCTGTTTGCCACTTAAACATTTGCTTTAATTTGGTATCCGGATTAGTATGGTTCAGATGTTGAAATTTTAAATAAAAGCTTTTCTTTAATGGCCCGTTTCCACTGAGTGGTACGGTACGGTTCAGTTTGGTACACTTTTATGGCTGTTTCCACTGTCAATAAGCGTACCGAACCAAACCGTACCGTACCACTTTTCTGGCACCCTTTTGAAAGGGTACCAAACGGGAGAAAGGGTACCAAAAGAGATACATGCACAGCCAAACACTGTTTGGTTACAGAGATACGTCACGAGCTCGTAGAGCTAGACAGAATGTAAACAAAGGATCCGCCATGTTCTGATACACAGCCGAGAGATTACATGGAAATACTATATGCATATAATAACGAGCCATGGATGACCCGAGATCAAACAAACCTTGTCATCATCTCGATGAACATGTAACGGAGGCCATGGTGTTTAGCCTCCTTGGTAGAGCAACCAACTCCCATGTGGAAGGTTGCCGGTTCGAAACCAGCTCGGAGCGGGTTGGTTGGTGTAGGACTGGTGAAGTTACATTGGTGCTGTGATCCAGATGGGAGTGAGGTTAAGGGGTGTGAGTGTAACGGAGGCCAGCTAGCAAGTGTTGTGCAGGTAAAACTCACTCCTCTGACCTCTAAAGGTGCTCTAGCGACAGATGCTAGAGGTCATGGTCTTTAGCCTCCTTGGTAGAGAAACCGACTTCCATGCGGAAGGTCGCCAGTTCGAAACCAGCTCGGAGCGGGTTGGGTGGCGTAGGACTGGTGGGGTTCCATACAGACACAAAGCCAAGAAGAAAAATCTGCCGTGTCCTGTTGTTGCTTTACGAGCCTGTTTAAAAGTGCGAGCGGTATTCGCTTTCTTCCGGGAAAGAATACCGCTTTCAGAAAGAAAGAAAAGGACAAGCGCGAGAGTGAAGTGCGGGAAAAAAAGAGAAGCCCAGGAGCAAAAGTGTTTTAGCAACCTGAATCATGAACAAACTGCCATGTTTATCATCACCTTTTGGACTATTATAAACTGGGAATGACAGAATGACTCTCTAACAGAGCTTACATGTGCTGCTGAAGATTACAGACACAGATGAGAGGTTTGCGCTGACTTTGGGCTATATTGCGTGTGTTTTTGAACTCAAATAAGTACTAAATGTATGATTATAACTTATAAATGTAAGTTATAATCAAATCAAGTTCATAGAAAAGTTAGTAATAAACATTTATTAACAAGTTTTTATGCGTATAAAGCATCTGTTTTGTGAGAAGTGCTTCTCATATGATATGTGAACGACCCGTACTTTACTGTGACATTTATTCGAGCGAGCATGACGTCGACTCAAACTATATGTCGTACACCACGCTCACTAAAAGGGCACCCTTTGTGGAGGAAACGCAAACCTGATAAAGGTGACCCGTACCGACCAGAACCGTACCGAACTGTACTAGTCAGTGGAAACGAGCCGAAAAGTTTCTGAGTTTGAAATTTAGGAAGTATTTGACATGGCCTAACTCGGTCTATATTAAAGATATCATATATACGAATATAGTGGCTCAGTTAGCACTGTCACCTCACAGCAAGAAGGTCATGTGGCATTTCTGTGTAGAGTTTGCATGTTCTCCCCGTGTTGGCGTGGGTTTCCTCAGGGTGCTCCGGTTTCTCCCACAGTCCAAACACATGCGCTATAAGGGGAATTGATGAACTAAATTGGCTGTAATGTATTAGTGTGTAAGGGTGTTTTCTAGTACTGGGTTGCAACTGGAAGGGCATCCACTGCGTAAAACATATGCTGGAATAGTTGGTGGTTCATTCTGCTGTGGCTACCCCTGATAAATAAGGGAGTAAGCTGAAGGAATAGGAATGAAAGTTTTAAATCTAAACACATGCCGTTTCCAAGATAAGTACACATACTGTACACATGCTTCATTTGCACATTATTGGGTATTTACAGGCACGGGACTTTTCATCAGTCGTGCAGCTGCATTCCTCCTGAAAATGAAAGTGATAACTGTCATAGATGTTGTGACACGGTTTAGAATCACTAAAGGAGGCGAACAGGTTATTATATCTTCATGACAGCACACTCCATAATGAGTGAAGGCTCACAGCTTTGTTTTACAAATGTTGGTTGTGAATAAAAAAGTGAACTTGGCCTACAGTACAGTGTGAAAAACTAATATAGAATTAGTACATTGACAAATACCTGTTCATAACAGTTTACATATTTTGTGTGTTT